CAGTTTTATTTAAATTTTTAGGAACATACTGCCTAGAGTAATCGTCGACAATTTTTAAACGGAAAATATCAAAAGCAGACATGTAAACAGAAAAGATCGAAGTTCTGAAGATCAAAGTAGGTCACTGACCTTAGATGAGTGTCCTTGATCTTTTGCTTAAAACATGTATATAGGGTCAAGGTGGTTGCATGAGATGGTCTGAGGCACTTCGAACACCAATCTGGAGTTTAACCATGTTTGACTTCATTCAACCCGAAGGTCAGGACCTAAGAACCCCAACTATTCTGACCCAGACCCACACACAAGGTCACTCACCTTGTGTGTGTGTGCTTGTGACGAAGATAAACACATGTAACACTGTGCACACGTGTTTATCAGCAACCTACGACGGGCGCGGCCGGCCCCGCGTGATGAGCGCCTCAATACAACAGCGCTGGACTGGCCCGTTTCATAAACGAAGAGCGTGCCAAAATGACTTTCCTCTGACTTCCGCTGCTCGACTCAGGGTAGAGTGGACTGGTATCATTTGGAAACCGTAACAGCAACTCACCATTCCCGCAGAGGATCCGCCGCTCGACGGCGGAGCGGTAGCGTCCTGAACAGCCGTGCCACCGTGCATGAACTGGCCCCGGCCCGCCAGCGGCTTCACAAGGCAAAGCATGCCGTCCGGTTTCGTGGTATGCCGAACGGACCAAGGCGATTTCGGCGCAGTGGTGGCTGCGGCGCAGTGTCGCCACGGAGTGATGCGGCTTGGATGGGCAGACGCGGGACAAGGCGGTGACACACAGCTGGAGTGGCGCGAGGTGGTGCACCTCCTGACCCGGGACGGCGGCGGCCGGGGAAGCAGTGGCCTCACGGTGCTGAATTGGTCGGCGCCAATGACTTTGAGTCGTGTCTGCAGTAGCAGTGAGTTATCACCGAAAGGCAGACAGCATGGAGACCGACGCGTTACTGTCTCAAGAAGCTGGGTCAGCATCTGAGTCGCAAAAACATCCCAATTACAAGTCAATGCCGTGTCAAGACAACATGAGCGTACCTCCTGGCGATGAAGACGAAAGCAGCGCTGTCCACCACGCATCTAAGGATAGCGCGATGACCACTGCTCAGAAGAAACTGCTTGCCTGTCTACTCTTAGTGAAAATCCTGGGCGGGTCGCTAGTAGCTGTCATGATCCCGTTCTTTCCTGTAGAGGCTGCTTCAAGGGGCGTGTCTCAAACGGTCATCAGTTGCCTATTCGGCTTCTTCGCGCTGGCAAATGTGATCTTGAGCCCGTTCGTTGGTCGGTTGGTGCCCCTCCTGGGCATCAACGGGCTCTACAGCTCTGGCATCGCAATAGCTGGCATTTCCACCATCGCCTTCGGCACCCTAAGCTATATCAAGGACACGTTTACCTTCGTGGCGGCTTGCTTCTTGGTGAGACTGGTGGAAGCGGTGGGTTCGACATCTATTTCCATCTGTGGCTTTACCATCGTCGGCAGCCAGTTCTCCGACAAGGTGAACAGGGTCGTGGCGCTGCTGAACTCTGCTCTAACCATCGGCGTAGCCTTGACGCCGGCCATCTGGGGTGGCTTGTTCGCCCTCGGTGGCTTCGGCACACCCTTCTACACGCTTGGCGTCATCCTGCTGCTGATGGCGGCCGTCAGCCAGCGCCTGATGCCGACCATCGAGCAGACCACCAGTGAATCTCAGACACATTTGCTGATATCTCTGCGACTGCTGGCCGGGTCGACGGGCAACTGGGTGTGCTTGATGACCGTGTTTATATATGCTGGAAATGTGAGCACAGTGGATTCTACCCTCGCTCCTTACGCCAATGATGTGCTCGGTGTTTCACCATCGCACGTTGGCTTGTTCTATCTCGTCAGTACGATGCTGTATGCCATCGTAAACTTTTTCTGGGGCTGGCTGGCCGACCGTGTGCGGAACCCTTTTGTGGTGATGTTTCCATGCCTGCTTCTTGCCAGCCTGGGAATCATGACGATCGCTCCCTCTGCTTTGTTATCTTTAAAGCCTGCTTGGTGGATAACGGGTCTGGGTTTATCAGCCCTGGAGGTCTTTTCCGGCGGTGCATTAGCTCCTTGCTTTAAGACCATTTTGGACTCAAGTATTGAAAATGGCCTAGAGGACAGCCTTGGTACGAAGGCATTAGTTGCCAGCGTCTACCAAATGAGTTCGTCAATGGGAATAGCCGTCGGGCCATTTTGTGGGGGCGTCATCGTTGATAACTACGGATTTCCTTGGATGACAACTGTCCTGAGTTTTGTAACGGCAACTGTGGGTTTGTTGGCTGCCACCAAGGCTATTTCCGCCAGTTCGTGTAGAAACCGTGACGGGTGGTGCCAGTCCAGGCAACACCAACTGTCGTAACTGCCTCATGGATGCATTGTGATTGCTCATTCTGTCGCATTTCTGGTTGATTACTACGCTTAGCCCTTTTTCAGACACTTTAACTATTGCTGCATCTCGATGTTTGCGTTGGTACTCACCGAATGCAGTTAAGGTGTGGAGGTGCCTAGCATAGGTGGCAATGTTGAGCAAATATAATTTCTAGGGCTGAATGACTAGTTCAACATATCGCGATTGCTGACCAGAAGCTAGATTCCGAGTCGTCAGCGTTACATACAGTGCGAGCACTGTCGTTGTACGGGCTGAGATCATAAACACGGCCAAGGCAGAGCAGAGATTCCAGAGACGAGCCCTGTAGAAGATCCCGGTTAATCTATCGAGGGACGGAAACCTGTCGGATATTTGATGAGTTTGTAAACATCACCATTTACATGCTGATAGGTAGTGTTCGGACTAGCTGATGATGATGCAGCCATGCCTGCCATGCTGTAAGTTACTCGGACCGGTCAACCACATCAGGGTGTTTACTGAAGTAAAAACAATAATGAAAGAAAGTTTTCCTCAGTCACGGCCGGTACATTTTTGTCTGATAGCTTAGGGAAGGGAATTTCGGTGAACTGAAGCTATCGAAAAGCGTTTACTTTCGGACGAAAGAGATGGTTAAGCGATGCTTAGAGGTACACTTGTTTTTCAACAATCTTTTGAACCGTCTTGGTAATAAGCAGAAAGGAAAAGGATTGCACAGACCTTGGAGGGCTGTAAGCGTAACCGAACATTAAGATAAAGCCTACAATTGTGTTTTTCTATGATGCAGAAACTTTGTGCTGTGTGCGTTAGGTGTCTACCATGTACGGAAAGACATGCCCAATGTGGCTAGAACACGTATCCAAACGGTTCATGCACAGTTCTTCATTGACACAGAAGTGAACTTCGCCCACTTACAAATGGTGCTCGAAGTGTGGCAAACAGAAAGGCTGCGTATGGAAGGCGATCATACAGATACGGGGACGGCCGGACCAGTAGGTTGAGGACGTCGCTGCGCTCGAAAACTCCGGCAATTATTGGGGTCTGAGCCTCAGGTCTGAGAGCTGGTATGAGCCCGGCTGTGACACGGGTCTGAGCCCGGCTGTGACACGGGTCTGAGTCTCGGCTGTGACACGGGTCTGTGCCCGGTTCTGACACGGGTCTGCGCCTCAACTGTGACACGGGTCTGAGCCTGGTTCTGACATCGGTCTGAACCTCGGCTGTAACACGGGTCTGAACCTAGGCTCTGACACGGGTCTGAGCCCCGGCTGTGTCACGGTCTGTGCCTGGATCTGACGCGAGTCTGAGCCTCGGCTGTGACACGGGTCTGTGCCTGGTTCTGACAAGAGTCTGAGCCCGGCCATAACACAAGTCTGAGCCCGGCTGTGACACGGGTCTGAGCCCAGGCTGTGACACGGCACTGGGCCTGGTTCTGACATGGGTCTGAGCCTCGGCTGTAACACGGGTCTGAGCCTAGGCTGTAACGCAAGTCTGAGCCCCAGCTGTAACACAGGTCTGCGCCCAGCCGCGACACGGGTCTGAGCCCAGGCTGTGACACGGGACTGAGCCTGGTTCTGATATGGGTCTGAGCCTCGGCTGTAACACGGGTCTGAGCCTAGGCTGTAACACGGGTCTGAGCCTCGGCTGTAACGCGGGTCTGAGTCCAGTCTGTCCGATCTCCGAGCCGCGGCTCAGCCAACGGTAAAAGCACGGGGTGTTTCGGGAAAAGGTGGCACTAGTCGATTGTGGGTCTCTCTGTCGGTAAAGAGGGCGTGTCGGTCATGCCCCGCTGGCACGTTTTGAGGAAGTGTCACCCACTTGTTGTCAATACTGGCGGAGTTAAACACCACCCTCCAGTCACATGGGACGAGGTCACGGGGGTATATCATTGTATCGGTGCAGAGTAACAGTGTGGACCTCGGAGCATTCGACTTCTGACACGCTCTGAGAATACCACACGTTGATATAGATTTGATGAACCGAAATAAACGAGCTCAGTACAAGCGCATTTTACACAATTTCAGCTGACAATAAATGTATGCAGAAACAAGGATATCAAGTCCGATGGACGAGCATCGGTGTGGGTGAGGGAATCAGGCTCGAACATGGGGGCAAATGTCAACAAGCGACGTGGTTGACATGAGCGGCCATCATGGGTGTGATTTTTGCTTCACGACGTGCTATTGCCTGCGTCTCATCCTGGCAAGAAGGACGAACATCGCACGCAGTCGAACTCCTTGCCTCTGGCTTCCCAGATGTGCGACTTAACCACTTCGTTGTCGTTACCCCGAGGAGCCATTATGTTACAGTTCTATCACCGGTGATGGCACTTGCACAAGCTGTATAGCTACTACGAACGTGCTAGCGTCACGGATGTCACGGATCATAGGTCAAATGGCCCGTCACATACGCGACCCAACTGACCCTGGGTCTTGTGACCAATCCAACCTGGGATCTCTGTGACCCATCTGATGCGTGACCCCTGTGACCCATTTGACCCGTGACTCCTGGCTGATCCGTGACACCTGTGATCCACCTGACCTGGGACCACCTTGACCCATCTAACCATCTTGCCCGGTGACCTTATTGGCTCATGCGACCCAACTGACCGATGAGCTCTGTGCCTGCAGACGCCGTTCAACAGCCGCCTCATTCCGGATTGGATTTGGCCCCGCTCTGGCAAGTTTGACGTGTTCGCGCACCACACGCGGCTGCACGTGGCCGAGACGCGCCGCGTGATGCAAGATCACGCTGCGTGGGTCACGATTCTGCGCGATCCCGTGGCACAGTTCGAGTCGGCCTTCGACTACTACCACTTCTCGATTGCGCAACACTGGAATATGACGCTGAGACAATTCATCGCCCTGCCGCTGGAGAGGAAGCAGGCCCTGGGGAGAATCGGCTATGGGTGAGAGGTCATAAGGGTGAGAGGGCACGAGGGCAGTTCGGGATTGGGGTAGGCCCAGCACAGGATGTTCTTGTTTTCAATGGTGAGCACTAGGAAATTGCTCAGAAATGAATCTGAAGCGGAGGGGGGTAAAAAGAGGTTCCGTTCTTGCTTCGCTGTTTTGATCGTCAGGGCCCCGTTCCCTATCCTGTGGATCTGGCGGGCAGTGGGAACTAAAATAGCACTGGCATGCCCGTCCAGCTGCCATGTTTGGCCCGTGGAGCTTTGGCCCAACTCCAGTTGCGGCACTTCTCGTTCCCAAAACAGATGAGACGCGGTCATTATGACAGGAAACGTCGACCCTGACGTTATACTGAGTTAAAGGACACTCACGGCTACAGGCTCAATGCAACGTAATCTACGGTATAAGATAATACAAGTGGTTAAGTATAATTTCATTCCTTGTTTATCCTTTGTTTGTTTCGTCTACACATTGTGACCGTCATCGCCCCTCTCGACATGCGTGCTGTTCGCCACGTTACCCTGCCACTGCCAGCCTTGCTGACCTACGCGCCCCCGCCACAGGCGCTTCGGCGGCAACCAGATGGCGTTTGACCTCGGATACGACCCAGCCATCGTCAGCGAGCCGCGCCTCGTGCAGGCCATGCTCGACGACCTGGACAAGGCCTTCGACCTGGTGATGATAGCCGAGATGATGGACGAGTCGCTGGTGCTGCTGCGCCAGCTGATGTGCTGGTCGATCGACGACGTCACCTACTTCACCAAGAACGCGCGCTTCGACTCGCTGCGTACCCCGCTGAGTGGCGCCGACCGCGCGGCGCTGGAGAAGTTCCTGGAGCTGGACATGATTCTGTACCGCCACTTTCGGCAGCGGCTGGCCCAGCAGATCGCCGCCGTGCCAATCGCCACGTTCCTGGCGCACACGGAGGCGCTCGTGGCGCGCCGCCTGCACTACAGGCAGCACTGCGTGGCCTCCGAGGCCAAGGGCAGCGAGCTGCAAGGGCAGCAGCACGAGATCACAGACAAGGTCAAGGGCTACCGGCTGATAGACTATTCCGACTGGATGTGTTCCCGCCTCGGCATGGCGGAGATCGGGTACACGGACCTCCTCCGCGACGGCCAGCGCCAGCGGATGGCCATCTGGCGCTGGGTGTACGGTCTCCTGGGCATGGACGGCGGCGCGCCCCAGCAGCCGGAGGAGAGGACATAGTGGCAGGCGCGGGCGTGTGCGGGGCACGGCTGTGCGCTGGAAGGAAAGGGCGTGGAGAGTCAGATCAGCTGATTGGCGTGACGCTTATTGAGATGTGGGGGTGCCTGCTGTTTAGGTGATGTAACACTCGAACTGTGATGTTTTTCTTTTTGCTTTGAAGCACTTACACTGCATGTTTAACTGTACAGTGCCTAACGGTTTCCTGTGTTGCATTTGTCTCGTTTTACATGGGTGTCAGTCAATGACTGATGACTTTTAACATGTGGCCTTGTTACGCGATTGCGGAGCGCTTCCCACAGCTTACATGAAAGTGCTGTTTTGTGATACGTTGTCGAAACCATGTGATATATATATATATATATATATATATATATATATATATACATGCATGTATATATGGTCACATTCTTGTAAAATTGCTGCTTACGGGTATCTTCTCGGAATCTGAAATGAAGTCAAGCAGAGCATCTGGTCACATAAGTGTAGTTTTGTTCCCCGCGTGGCCTTCAGGGGCACACTGTCCTGCGTCAAAGGTGTGCGGCAGTTCGGCCGAAGCAGTCATCTTTCGCGCGGACATAGCTGATGTCCCGCGTTGATCAACATAACACAATGGTAGCCTAGTGTTGTGCAGTTAAAGGCTGGCCTGAAAACGGGACTGATTCGAGCTCCTTCGTAGTCAATGTCTCACGGATGGCATGTCAATGCTGGAAGTCTTCGGGGAGAGTGTGTAGTTCATGCTTGGCGCCAGCTGCTCATGAAAATACACCCTGTACTGCAGCAGCGTGTCTTGCATGGAAAGCGTGGTGTTCAATGACAGACAAACATTGAGTTTTGCCGCCCTGGAAGGGAGCCGTGCGCACCAACTCCATGCCTTGCACGTGTGCGTTGACAGATGCGTTGTTCAATATGGATGCTTAAATAGGTTTATTTTCGGGTGGGAGCTGCTGCTATGCTGTAAACATTTTGCGCAGTGATGTCATACCAGACGTACCAAAAGTCAGTGCTGTGTTAATCGAAACATCAGCGGCGCATTGTTAATGGCTTTGAGTGGTATTGATTTAACCGTTCATTGCTCATTTCTACGGAATTCGCGGGCATCGTGGAAATTTGCACAGTGTTCCGGCTTTCAAATGTTTTTGCGTAAGGTGCAGGTCTTCACCGCAACATTAATATGCGCATTCAAGCACAACAAGGGCAAGTGCCCACGAAACGATGAAGCTGCTGCAGTAAAAAACAAACAAAGAAAGAAACAAACAAACAAACAAACAAACAAACAATATGCGCAAAATGCCCCATTTAGAACTTAGCGACATTTTGTCATTTGACCGGACCGTGAAGAATGTGTGACGTCATGCTTAATTAACTGACGGCTGGAATAATCACTGTTCCTGAAAGCATACAGTTCACAAAAGAAACATCTCTTCACTTTGTAAGCGCAAAAGACAAAGTGTTGGAGCAAGAGGAGGTTACATATCGGTTTTTTCCTTACAGGTACATTAAGGTCAGCCCACTTTTGCTACATACACTTAATCCCAGTACCAAGAACGAGAATGACATCGTTTTCGGCGAGGACAATCGATTGCTATCACTGTGTGTGTTAGAACAAAATATAAATATAATGCAGCCCTTCTCCTTTGGAATCATACGCGAATGGCGCTAGCAAATGTTTTGGATACCCTTCTTTCAAAAATTTGGCGGGCAAAAGTGCACTGATAATTAGCGACCGCGTGCAAATTCACAAACAGCATAGCATAGTCGTCATGCATTGAGATCGGTTTAAGAAAAATAGGCATTTGCCGGTTCCCGGCTTCTTACTGGAACTCCATGGGACGAAAAGTTTGTGATATAAAGAGCTGCAGTTAGTTCTTTCCCATACCCTGTGCATTTGTTTCACGTCTTCGTTTTCTCTTTACTGAAAAAATGCTCTCCACGGCGTTTTTAACAGGCGAACGGGTGACCGATTAAATGCAACACGTTTGAGTGGAGGTGGGGGTTAAATGGATGACCAGAGACTTCAAAAACCAGAGAGTGAGACATAAAAAGTTCAGAGGGTACCTATGGTTCTATGTGAACTCGTGTATGTCAAGTTTTGAAGACTTTGGGTCATAACCTTTGGGTCAAATAAGGTAAAAAGTCCAAACTCCAGATCGGTGTCAGAAGTGCTGTCTTCCCACTAAATCCGTTTTAACACAGACAGCATTCCTGTATAAGCATAGACAGCACTTCACCATGTCAGGGCAGGAGCATTCAAGAGATCAAAATGACTAAAATCCTGAAAATTAACTTGACATTTAAACTTGACATCGGCGTTATGAGCTACGTTAGGCAGTATGTTTCTAAAAGCCAAGGTTTATCACAGCCATTTTAGGTCAGTGGCCCACTCTGCCCACCATCAAATCAAAATCAGATGCCTATTTATGTGCCTGTGATCAAGAAATTCCAATAGGTGTGAAAACTGCCACTTAAGGCAAGTTTCCCCAGTCATAAAAATGGTTCTTCAAGCTATCTGACCCAACGGCAATGTTATCAGACACGTCACTAATTAAAGTGATCGAATCGTCCAAGAACCGTTCTCAAAGTTACGTGAGTTTCAACTTTGTGTTTGAACACTCCGTTGTCGCAGCCGAATAGATGAATCCTTTTCTTCCGTAAATTCCTTCGCTGGTATCCAAGGCCTAATTTTGACCTGCTATAGGTCAATGACACTATAAGGTATATCTAATTTGCACACCCAAGTATCGGCTGTTCAATTATCTTAACAAAATAATGTTGGGCGCAGCTACGCCACGCTCTTCGAAAGCAATTCTGGAAAAACCTTCGAGGAAGCTGGGCCGGGGGGGGGGGGGGAAGCCTCCATGACACCTCTGAATGGATCCTCTCACTGACACCCATCACATGTCTTCATGTCGCTATGGAATTATGGCTTACGACGCACCCAGCTGCTGACGCAAAGCATGGCCTTCCCCTCATTCTGACAGGAATGGTGGGCACCACAGAAAACGGCTCCCTTGTTTGCCCTATTTATTTTAGCAAATAAAATAAGTTGCACATTCTTTATCCATTAAGTCAGATTTTTCACTGTGATCAATCCCTTCAGCTTCGCAATAGGGGTACAGAAGGAACTAGGGCATGTCGTGGAGGGATTTCTTTTCGAGGAGCCAAGGTATCATGCCATATTTTTACGGGGCAAGTGTGAAAACAGCCGTGGTGGCGGCAATTTCCTTCAAAAAGAGATTGGAGGGGCCTCAGCCGGTCTGAAATTTGCCGCTTTAATTAACAACGGCAACAGTAGCACCACCACACAAACAAACGTAAACTGACCACTTCATTGGGCTTCCAGGCAGCAAAGTGGATGAAACAAGTACTACTCATTGGTTTGTACAAGTTCTTAGAGATCTCAAAATATTTTTGAGTAGCTCATGTACGAAATTCTTCCCTTTACTTCCTACCTTAGCTAAAGGAAATCGTCATATTTTTTAATTGAACATTTTTGTTTTATGTTATCGGAGTCGGAGCCAGCAAAGCCCATTTGGTGCCTAAATTGTTCTGTTGTTACCAAAAATTCCGCGTCCAAGCGCAGTGACTCCGGAGAGACTTCATCCGCAGTCAGAACGCATTCGGCCTGTCGGCGCCAGCCAACAATCCGGCCCAACAGGCCCAATGTTTAGAAGTGCGAGGAAGTGAGTGAGCAATGTAGCGCCGCCGGCACCAGATATGGCTGTAATTGTGATTCTTGCGATTGGCCGTTGTTATCCGTTTGCGGGTTGCAGAGAGAGAAGGGGGTATTATGCGCTGCTCTCAGTACTGGCTTATCAGTATGCGAGTTGGGAAAGGGGACGGGACATCCGAAGTCATTGCAATCAAACGTCGGTACACAAGAGCGTGACCATGTCTCTAAATCTGTGGATAAAACAGGATGGAGGGGTCAAACTGGAATCTGTTGGAAAGCGTGGCCTAAAAATGTCATAATATATGTTGACACGTAAACAACGTGCATTCGCCGTGAACATTTAGAGAGGACAAAATCTCATTCTGGAAAAATTTGGGAAGATGACCCCAGGCCCCAAGTGGCTTAATCCAAACCAGTACGTCGACATACCGACTAAGTACAATTTTGACGTCAAATTCGCCTGTGTCCCGCCTTGTGAGTGGCGGATCCCTGCGAGAGCTGGCTGTGCCCAGCCTTGTGAGTGGCCGATCCCTGCGAGAGCTGGCTGTGTCCCGCCTTGTGAGTGGCGGATCCCTGCGAGAGCTGGCTGTGTCCCGCCTTGTGAGTGGCGGATCCCTGCGAGAGCTGGCTGTGTCCAGCCTTGTGAGTGGCGGATCCCTGCGAGAGCTGGCTGATGGCCTGTCCCAAACTGCGCGCGCAGCCGACCGTTTGGGTCCAGACGGGTGCCTAACGGCGTTTGTGATGGTTTCCAGATGGACATCGGGTGTATGGGGGAAGATGAACGATTTGCGGTCGCTTCCGGGAAAATATGGCGGACTAGTTGCGCAGCATGACAAGAGACTGGCGAATGAGTAAGCATGGTATTTGGCTAGGGGACGCGCGGTTTTCTTTGTTTATTGATTTTGTTTACAGCATTAGAAGAGCGATTTTAAAACACCTAGGACGGAACGATATGACTTAAATCAAACCACCTACTAGAGGTGGGAATGGTTCGGTTCGCCTTTTCCGCCCGTTATTAGGTCTTGGCTGGCGTACACTGGGACCAGTAGCAGTCGTTGACGTTGGAGGGTTCTACCCTCATGAGAACAGTGCTCGTGCCAAGCGCTGCGGCAAGTAAAGCTGTCGCCGCAAATTCTACCGCTGACCCGGAGTTCCACGATCGCATGGTGGCCAAAATTGACCAAAAGTCGATTGACCAAAAGTCGATTGGCTAGAAATCAGACGGCAAAAAGCCAAAGGATCACCAAGTCAAATAGCAAAACGTCCAATGCTTAGAAGTGAAAAGATGAAAAGCCAGCTTAAAAAGTGAAAGATAACGGTAAAATGCAAAATGTCACAGAGGTGAAAGGCAAAAAGGAAAAGAACTACGTGAACAATAGTCTTTCCACTTGTCTCCCACTTCGCCTTGTAGCTTCCACAACTTGCATGAGTAAAAGGGAAAATGTGAGTCTAAGAAATGCGATTCAAAATGAAAGAGGTGCCTGGGAACCTTCAAGCACATAAGTTGAAAAATCCTTGTGCATTGCGCGGACACTTTCAGTTTAACTCTAGGACACTCCATGGACTGTGCACAATCGTGAGGCCTGCGCGTCCCATTTACGTTCAGGCTGAGTATCCTTCGTAAATCACTATAGTCCTTTTGATGCCTGCAGGAACATTTTTAAATTATTGTAGACATATTTTTCTGAACAAAGAGCCACATATGCCTCTCATGGAACAAGACCCTTGCATGCAACAAATACATGCAAAAACATTAACATCGTATCACGCATGCTCATAAGCACGCTCGGAGCCAAGACAAACTTAGCGATAAATTAGTGCTGGACAGAATAACACAGATGTACGAAACCACACAGTTATGTCATACAAACAGAAGAGACGGAAGCCACGGCGACGGCCACGAGACGGCGGTCATGGCGGAGACATGAGACGGAAGCCATGGCGACGGCCACGAGACTGCGGTCATGGCGGAGACATGAGACGGAAGCCATGGCGACGGCCACGAGACTGCGGTCATGGCGGAGACATGAGACGGAAGCCATGTCGGCAGCCACGAGACGGCTGTCATGGCAGAGACATGAGACGAAAGCCATGGCGACGGCCACGAGCCGGCGGTCATGGCGGAGACATGAGACGAAAGCCATGGCGACGGCCACGAGACGGCGGTCATGGCGGAGACATGAGACGAAAGCCATGGCGACGGCCACGAGCCGGCGGTCATGGCGGAGACATGAGACGAAAGCCATGGCGGCGACCACGAGACGGTGGTCATGGCGGAGACATGAGACGGAAGCCATGGCGACGGCCACGAGACGGTGGTCATGGCGGAGACATGAGACGGAAGCCATGTCGGCAGCCACGAGACGGCTGTCATGGCGGAGACATGAGAAGGAAGCCATGGCGGCGACCACGAGACGGTGGTCATGGCGGAGACATGAGACGGAAGCCATGGCGACGGCCACGAGACGGCGGTCATGGCGGAGACATGAGACGAAAGCCATGGCGGCGGCCACGAGACGGCTGTCATGGCGGAGACATGAGACGAAAGCCATGGCGGCGACCACGAGACGGCGGCCATGGCGGAGACATGAGACGGAAGCCATGGCGGCAGCCACGAGACGGCGGTCATGGCGGAGACATGAGACGAAAGCCATGGCGGCGGCCACGAGACGGCGGTCATGGCGGAGACATGTGACGAAAGCCATGGCGACGGCCACGAGACGGCGGTCATGGCGGAGACATGAGACGGAAGCCATGGCGGCAGCCACGAGACTGCGGTCATGGCGGAGACATGAGACGAAAGCCATGGCGGCGGCCACGAGACGGCTGTCATGGCGGAAGCATGAGACGAAAGCCATGGCGGCGACCACGAGACGGCGTTAATGGGGAGGCATGAAACAGTGGCAATGGGACTACGGTCATATTGGAAACATGATGCAGTGGTCATGATGCTTTCGATGTGTATTCCTGTATCGACTAGCATATTACCAACAGTCCGACGTGATTATTATGCTACCACGTTCATGCTATATTCTTGCAGTAATTTTAGCCGTTTCCATTTACCTTGTGTTCATCTATTTTGCTCGCTAATCTAATCATGTGAAATTCCTTGTCTACTTTCAATCCCAAGTTGTTCAGAAATAGTTGTAGTGATAGCTAACAGGTGTGCTGGCTGGCTCTGTGTATGGATATTTTTGCCACGGAGTATATGGTTACTTGTAAATGTTCACAACCCAGATTAGGAACTGACAATCACCTACAACAACGTAATTTGTTTATTCTGGTGTACATAAACGTCCGTAATGCGAGGCAAATGAAGGTAATATTTTGGAAATGAGGATTTACACCATCTTGCATTTCCAGAAAAGATGGTATAGTGTATTTACTTCGGAAGAGCAAAAAGGTGCACAGATTGTGATCAGTTTTGCGTATCATGTGAAAGCGAAAGACATGAAGACGTCGTGAACAACAGCCTTCCCACTTGTCCCCTACTTGCCCTTGTAACCTCCCCAACTTGTACGCAACAACGGGAAAAGACGAGTCTAAGAAATTCAGGGCAATGCGAATGAGGCGCCTGAGAGCCTTGAAGCGAATAAGCTAAAAAAGCCCTCGTCCATTGCGCGCAGCACTCTCAGTTCAAATCCAGGACACATCATGACCTCACACAGTTGCGAGGCCTGCTCGTCTTATTTACGTTCAGGCTGTGGCTCCTTTATATCTCAGCCCTTTATAGCCCATTGCACATCTGTAAGGGGCCCTTTTGTTGTTGGTGTAGTTGGAGACCGCGCAGCATGGAGAGAATAAGTGGGCAGTTACCCACCCCATAATTCAGCTAGAAGATCCAAAGGCGTGTTTCTGACCCTTACTGCATCAAGTCGTGATTTTCGCTGGGGCTTCTTCACTAAATATGTCTAGTTACATAGTCCATGGAAAACCACGTAGCGAATTCCATCTCAATATCTGCCCACACCTTACCTTAACTTTATGTAAAACTTTATGGCTTTACCGGACAGCTTGATAAACAGTTTGGCTACATAGTAGCTAATCATCAGCTGAACAGCTTCATCAGTAACTGCCGCTTTTATAATTTGAAATGTTCAATCACGGAAAAGGCTGCCTGACGAGTAATAAGATAACAATTACAAAATTACGTAGCTACCATTTGTCTAAAATAGCTTTTTGAGTCTTTCATTGGCCTAAGTAAGCCAGCAAATGGGGTTACGTATGTCTTCCCAGAACCCTAGAGTGACCGAGAAACGTGACATACACTTCCTCCAACTAAGAAATGTGCGGTACATTTCTGAGGAGTTGGAATAGAGAATGGTAGAAAGCAGTTGTGCGGGTACCCTTGTCTTCTTCCCGTCAGAGCTCAAAAGACCCATTAGATGGCCCCGCTAAAGATGCGTTATTTGTCTCTAGGTCCCAAGACCACCTGAAAGGCATTTCACAGCTCAAAATCCATGGCACTGCTCGTCGGAAAAATGTTCTTTTATGACCAAGGTTTCCTGTGGTTGAAGGGGCTTAAGATAAGTTAAAAGACATCACATGACGAAAAATCATCGTGAATTAAGACACTTACCCAGGGGCGTGGTTTCCTTCTGAGTTAGGGAAGGGGGACTTCAGCCCCCCCCCCCCCCCACTTGGAATTCAGTCCCCCAGCTCCGGAGAAAAGGGCGAAATCCGGGAAGAAACCTGCTTGTTGACGAATTTTTAGGGATAGGTTGAGCTGTTGTTCACAGTGAAGCACCCCAAATTATTTTTAGACACTACGCCCCCGCTCTTTCATCGCGCAAGAGGGCCGTTTTTCGACCCAAGGTTGGGACCCAGCCCATGCTCCTTTAGCGCGGTCACAGTGCCGATAAATGGCTTATTCCAACGGGCTGAACGAGATAGGCTTCATCTCCCCCCCCCCTCCCCTTAACCCTACCCGCAAACGCGTGACCAGAGGCCCTCGGTGTTTTTTGAAACCCTGTATAATCTAGGGAAGTGATTTTTATAGCTTGTTCTGCTGTTGTCCATTTTACGTAATCCCTCTTGAATTTTTGTTATTTGACTGTTTGCATCTGCCTCTTATCCATTTGGCTTTTGACGTACAAAATGCTGTCCTTCTGACTTTTCAGAATTTATATATTCGTTTTTCCGTTCAACTTCGTGCCATTGTAATTTTTGTCCTTTGACTTTTCGTTTCTGACCTTTTGTGCTGCAACTGCGCCGACGTGTTTGGATCTCCGGACGCGCGAGCTCCTGCATCCGGTGCGATTAGCTGCAGACTCGGCCGAGCTCGGCGCGATCCACTGGCCTCGTGCGCTGATCTAGCGAGCTGGCGAGGTCATGCTCAACGCGTGCGTCACCCCAGGGACCGCCACAGAGCGGCCGCCAGTCGGCAGGCGGGGCGGTTCGGCGGCGGATCGGTTACGTGCAGTGATACCAAACTTGCAGGCGAGGGCAAGGGCGACGCTAGGCCAGACGGCTTATTTGACGGCAAGTTGACCAACATGGAGTCCGAAAGGCTGTTGTCAGAGGAAGGGGACGAGACGGGGTCCGAACTGGACACCGATTCCGGGCACCAGTCAGCCCAGTGTCCAAGCAACGCATCCGGAACTTCGGACGACGGGTATCGACTCGAGGGAGAGCAGCATGCGACACAAAAATCTGGCATGACGTCGGTTCAGAAGAAACTGTTGGCCAGCCTGGCGGTGGTGAGGATGTTGAACGGCTCTCTGATAGCCGTCATGATCCCGTTCTTTCCCGTTGAGGCCGCTTCGAGAGGCGTCTCACAAACTGTCATCAGTGGTCTATTCAGTTGTTTCTCGGTAGCGAGGATGGCCACAAATCCGTTTATTGGGCGTTTGGTGCTCCTGGTCGGCCTTAGCCGGTTGTATAATTTAGGCCTGGCCACTGCCGGCCTTACTACCATCATCTTCGGCACGCTCAATTACATCGCAGACACGTCTACGTTCGTGACAGCTTGCTACTTGGTGAGGCTGGTGGAAGCCATTGGCTCGGAAGCCATTACCATCTGCGGCTACACCATCGTGGGCAACCAGTTCCCCAGCAGAGTGAACAGGGTCGTGGCGCTGCTGAACTCAGCTCTGACAATCGGTCTAGCGTTGACGCCGGCGATCTGGGGTGGCTTGTTCGCCCTCGGTGGCTTCGGCACACCCTTCTTCACGCTTGGCGTCATCATGCTGCTGATGGCGGCTCTCAACCTGCGCCTGATGCCGACCATCCAGGGAACAACCAACAGATCTAGTATGAAATTCTCAAAGACTCTATGGCTTTTCGCCAAGTCGACCGGCAACTGGGTCTGTATGGTGACCGTGTTCACGTACGCATCATATGTAAGCACGGTAGCCTCAGCCTTCGCTCCTTACGCCAATGACGCTCTTGGCGTGCCACCATCGCAAGTTGGCTTCTACTATCTGGTTAACACTTCCGGTTACGCTATCATGAACCTTTTTTGGGGATGGCTAGCTGACCGTCAACAAAATCGCTATAAAATTATGTCGCCATGTCTCATTGTCTCCAGCTTTGGCATTTTCCTGCTGTCGCCATCTCCCCTGCTAGGTCTGAAGCCAGTTTGGTGGCTAACCGGTCTGGGTATGGCCATTGCACAAGCGTTTTCTGGCGGTGCCTTGACTCCCTGTTTTAAGACCATGCTTGAGTCGAGTATCGAGGGTGGTCTCGAAGACGACTTGTCTACACAGTCACTTGTCTCCAGCGCATATCAAATGGCATTTTCGATTGGCGTGGCTGTCGGACCTCTTTTAGGGGGTATTCTTGTAGACATCTACGGCTTCCCCTGGATGACCACTATGCTGGCTTTCCTCATGGCCTCTGTCGGGCTGCTGGTCGGGGTCAAGGCCATATCTGCCAGCCAAGCTCAATGTCGTGACAAAAAGTAGAGTTGCGAAACCAGTTACAACCAAGAGGCCTCCGGGAAACTTTGACGCTCTTTGCATTCGGTTAACACACCTTAATTCGCAGTTCCTGTATTTAAGAACTTATGTAAGCCTGTAGGAACGTGCGGTAGGGATGTAGAAACGTGAGGCCAACTCACACTCATATAATTGTCCGGTTTCTCATCGGTTGTATCACGCCAACGAATGTATAAATGGAAACTGCGATGGAACAAGAAAGGTTAAGCCAAGACCTTTATGATAATGTTGATAGAGTTGGCGAAACTTCATGTTGCCATTCTTAAAGTGATTGAACTTGTTTATGAAGGAAAACGTAGCGAGTGACTGCACCAGGAGGAGCAGTTTTCGTTTCCACGCGTGCCACTATACGTGGAAATGTGCCATTGATAAAAAATGACTACAGTACTTTGCCATTTAAAGCCATTCACGTTTGAATGTTGCTTTCTTTCTGGTATGTGCTGAAAAGTATTTATGTCGGGAACCAGTGTGTCGATGCTATTGGCAACTTGAGGTGAAGGAAGGGCAAGCCTTTTGTTTACATCCTGCTGGCAAATAGACAATCCGTTGGCAATGTCAATGAATCTTCTATTTTACTAAAGGAACATAGATAACTAAAGCAGCGAAAGCACTTTTCATGAATGGTGGGCATTGGTGGGTTCCCAGGAAAACTGGGCATTTAGATGCAATGATAACGCGTATTTGTACCGGTTCTCAGGCCTGACTGTCTCCATTATTGTAGTGAGCCTTATCTGCGTCCTCAGTGCCAATATCTTCCCAGTTGCTCAGTGCTAACGCCGCTCAAAGCTTGTGACGACATTGTACAGCATGGTGGTGTAATATACGTGCGTAGTGAACATTCTAGTGTGAAAACGTAGGCCATCCAGCATGTACGTGCAATACACGGCGAAAAGCAAGAATATTCATCGAAGTTCGGTGGTGTTCCACACAAGTGATTCATTGCGTTTTGAAGCATTTAGTTCTCCTCAGTACAATGTGTTATCTATTTACAGTCATATATCATAATGGTATATGCCAGGGTTAATTATCGATGACGGACATGGACTTAGGGACGTCTTTTCATTAGTGTGTGTATGGGGGGGGGGGGGGGGGACGAGGGCAGAATAACTTCGTTCGTGCTGCCGACTTAAGTTCAGAAATTTTGATCGAAATAATCTGCTCAGAAGAAGCAAATGCGTCTGCCACCACTTGAAGTATGGATAGAAAAATACTTATAACTGCATGGCCAATGCGAACAGCAACCGTTTTTCTGATCAAAATTGTTGTGTGACGCCTTTAAGAAAACGATAAAGATGCACCTATACTAGTTAGTGATGTAGGATAAGGTCTGAGGAATTTAAGCATGGATAACTATTAAATAGCCTCAGATATGTGAATGGAGCCAGTTAAGCGGTGTGAAGGTCAGTTAATGGCCTCAAAAGAAAGTGTGGAACAGCTCAACAGTTCATCACAGCTGTGTTACCATTTGCATTTGTTTCAAACTGGCAAAACCGGTTACCTAGCTAGGCATTCTGTCAAATGCTTAAAGAACAGTGTGGGAAAGAATCCGACGTGTATAGGTCACTCGCCACATTTTATAGCGCATGCAGCAAATTTCTGACTTTTGGCGTGATAGTTAATACTACTGGAGGCTTTGTCCGTGTCAGTCTTTCTCGCAAGCAGCAGAGGTCTTGCCAAACAGGAATTCTATTTTCTAGTCACTTTTACGCACCAATACTCACACCACAATGTTCACACACACAACCGACAGCGATTTTGCGTCGTCGAGCCCGCAGAGAGTAAGAGTCTCCGCATGCAGAGAGTAGGAGCCTCCGTAGGAGCCTCCGTAAATGAGAAACGACGCGCGACGTCCAATGTGCGACCACCAATGCGCGACGTCGTCCAATGGTCGCCTAAACCAATCGAAAAGTAGGGTACCGTCTTGAGATCCCAGAACTGGCTGATGCGATTGGCGTGTGGTCAGACGCTGAAGGCAACTTTTCAAAGGTAGTATCGGATAACATTTCGGAAGCCAGGCATACTTCAGGTTAAAATGGAGCGATTGGAATGCGATTAGTGCACATGCCTGAGCTTAAACAAAGGCGAGTTAAATGACTAGTGGACGCCAGCGGGTAGAGGGCTTTAGATAAGAATGTATGAAGGTGAAAAGAGGATTTTGTTGCAGCGCATCATCCAAAGCATGTCGTGTTCAGCACTAGCAAGCGACATGTACGCACTTCGGGCCGTCCATATACGCTCCTTTAAAAACACAACACAATTGTGCTTTAGATAGCGCTCGCCCATTGACACTTTCGCTGTCATTTGGAAACATGCACCCCTCGATCAAAACTCCTGGATATGCCTCTTTGGTTTGGCACTGACCACTGGCGGTGGGCGGCAGCCACGGGGCGGAGTGAGCGCTCGTGCCGTTGCGGCCCTGTAAATATCATGACAGGGTGACCTCTGAACGCGCACGGAACAAACAGAACGTGGGGCAGGGGGGAAGGGATGAGGTGCCTAAATTGACAGTCGGTAAAGATAGATGTGTCACCAGAATGGTGACACTAGACACAGACGGTGACCTATTAGTTTAACATGCGCCCCGTTGGCCGGTACCCTTCGCTCGAGTGTGGGGGGAGGGGGGGGGGGGGTCAATTTAAACCCTTTCTGAGATCTCAGGAATCAAGGAAGCTAGAAACCCCACATTCACAGGGTGTATTGATCTGTACGTGAACTCACATACGTGAACTCACATAGGCCAAAGTTTGATGCTCCTATGTCATGACCTTCAAGTTAAACTAGGTCAAACAAGGTCAAGTACCAGGGTGGTCTCCAAAGGGCCTCTAGAACCTGGATAACTGTTCTAAGCAAAAGGACACATGCTCATCTAAAGTCAGTGACCTTGTTTGACCTTTTGTAGGTCATGGTGACCAAAATTATACAAGACCGCTTTGCGTTTTGCATTTGGATAAGAGACAAAGATTACGTTAGGCAGTATGTTCCTAAAAACAAAATGTTGGCCTGGGTAATTTTAGGTCAGTGACCTATTCTGGCCTTTAAGAAGTATATGGACAGTGTATAATGCGGTTCCTGTCATCAATAAATTTGAAATGATCACCAGGAACAATCCCATTTAGCAAGCGCTAGAGTAATACAACAGTCTGCTTTTTTACCTTGGTCTGGCCTTCATATTGACCTTAGGTCAATGTAGTTTTCTCATTCAATTGTTGTATTGGCCAAGAAAGTATCTCAGAGATGTATGGCTTCGTCTAACACTCCGTTGTTGGATCAGATTGAAAGATTCCCTAGAAATTGTCTTCGCTGAAAGCATGGCCTGATTTTGACCTGCCATCGGTCAGGGACCTTACAAGATACATCTAAATTTGCGATGCCAGACAATCTGCTATTCAACTGTCTACAGCTGTGCAAAATTTAGCGCGGCTACGCAGTGCCGTTCGGAAACCATTCCGGGAAAAACCTTCGGGGGGTCAATTTGAACACCCCCGAGTGCGTGGTAATGTCATTCATATTTCGTGCCGAATTATCCACGGGCCGGGTGCCAATGAGAGCCTTGGACATGTCCAGCTCCGGTGACCGCAGACGGTTCCCTGGGAAAAATTGGGAGATCAGCTCCCCGCCTCCCGCCTGATAGAACATAAGTATCTCTGGCGGGGCCTAGCCCGACCCGCCATGTCCGTTACGTATTGGTATGCGAAGACTTTATTTCAGAATGGGTCCGACAGATGGGACAGATGCCCTCTGCCCGTGTGTGGTTAGGTCTGACACCAGAAACTGCAGTCTAAGAGGGTTATGTCACTCCAGTTACCACGCTAACCAACCCGGTGCCCCCTCCCCCACTTCCCCTGGTGCTTCCCCCACTAAGAATGATTAGACACAAAATCGCCACATGCACGAAAGCTGCTTTTCGAGTGGTGATTCACATCTTGTTTCCTTTCAGGGAAATAGGCTTGAATGATTCGGACTCAGACACTGGATCGAGCATAGTTGCGTCCGGCTGAGACCTCATCTGGACTGTCCGAACCGGGGTGAACACATATTATACAAAACATTAACGCTCGCTCGGGCGGGGTTCAACTTGTCCTTCGAAGGGTTTTCCAGAATGATTTCCAAGTGGCGCGACATATCCTCGCCGACCTTAGCACAGTTGTGCAGTATTTCATTGCGGATCTTTTGATGCAAACAAACTGCCTGTTACTCATAAAGTCGCTGAACTGTGGCAGGTCAAATCAGGCCATGGCTGTCAGTGAGGGGCATTTCTAGGAAAGCGTCCAGCGTGATGTAGCAACGGAATGTTAGGCGGAGTCGTACATATCTGAAATAATTTCTTAGGCAATAATCCAACTGAATCTAGAATCACAACCAACTCCATTGACCTAGGGTCAGGTATGAAGATCAAAACAAGTCAAAACTATCCTACCTTTTACTCGAGAGCTGGGTTTTATGGTGTAGTTTGCAGTGCTATTTTCGAATTTATTAATGACCGGGATCGCAACAAACATGTTCCATGGGCTTTTTAAAGGTCAGAGTAGGTCACTGACCTATAATGACCGAGGCCAGCATTTTTTAGGAACATATCGCCTAGCGTAAATCCCTGACGCTTATACCAAGTGCCAAATAGGAGCTATGTCGTAGATACGAGGTCACCTTGACCTTATCAATGTTAATCAAGGTTACTGACCTCATTAATATTTTGCTTAGGACAGGAACATATTTTCACGGCGGTTGCATGTGGAGGCCTGGGGACACTTGAGACACCAATCTGACATTTGGCCTTGTTTGACCTTATTTGAACCTGTTCGGGAAATCAACATACTTTCTTCCCGGCAATGTTATTATTGTCAATTCGACACCGATCATAATAACCAACGAACACCTTTACCGCCAGTATGACAACTAGTCCGCCGACTTAGTGACGCAAGAGAGCGATATATTGCATGTACAAAAATACAAAAATCGCACCAAAACCATAACCAGTTTTGGTTCCAATAATCATCAACTAATTCAGCAATAAAACAATAATGGAAAGCAACTCACATTGACAGTTACAATGTCGCGACGCATTCGTTTTAAGTCACGGACGGGACTAAACCACGATATGACAGCTTTGCGGAGAGAACCCCCAACGCTCTACGTCAAACAGCAAAGTCGGGTCTCGCTCGCGGACATCAGCGCTGTCTCTTCCTGCGGAAGGTTTACATCCCGTTCAGATCCGTCGCTCCCGTTCAGATCCGTCCCTCTTACCAGCTACTGCTCCCGAGACAATCCATCCGAAAGCGGTCTCCTGAGCTACCAAGCCAGATGCAGTGCGAATCATCCCATCCTTCAGAAGCTGCCACTGCTGGTCCATCCCAACAAGGAGATCCAGAGACAAGCGGTGCTCAGAGCTGGACCTCCCATCCGCTAGGTCCACGCCAGCAACGGAGCGGACAGCTTCCTCAGGTACCTAAGGACGCTACAGAGGGGCACAAGTTACAGGTAATTCTATGACCTTCAAACAAACTGACATGCGCCCAGAAACATCGGCATCTGTTACCTCTGTCGGATGCATATTACGCTCCCACGTGGTGCACTTGCCACCTCCAAATGCACAGTATGTGCTCCTCTCAAATCCGACTCGCTCTGGGCTCACCCTGCACACGAGAGACCGACTGATGTGGCTACGATCACTGCCAGCATCAAACACTAGGGTCGCTTCAACTGTCCCTTTCCTATCCTTCACCAGGACACGAGCTGAGGGCAAGATACCGCACTGCCTGTGTGGCACACACAACAATGACGCAGCGGTAGCTGCTCCAGCAGAGGATCCACTATCAGAAGTAACAGT